TTCATATGTGTTAGAAAGTCTCCAAAAATAAAAGTTAAAAAAATATGATGAGCTTATACTTCATTGCAGCTTATTCTGACTATCACGAGATGAATTTAGTAAGCATATAAAATGCTAAACACTTGATTAATATTGACAACATTAATTAAGGGCATTATTAATTAATATTGATAACACCGATTAAGGTATAATATTACTACAGGTTATGTAGACGGCGGTGGCCATTTGAAAGATGTGTTTATGTTGTGTTGGTCACTGTGAGCCTTGTTCACTTTTCATATGGCCCGTTCTCTGAGTCAGTCTCATTAGGGTTACGTATCATAACCTTACCAGTGCTTTTTAAAGTAGCTTCAGTTAATAAACGATGGCCTTGTTTTTTTACAAAGAGGCCAAGAAAAGCGTTAGAGCTATATTAGAAAGTTGCTTTGACCACGTCTCTGGAAATAAGCATTTTAAGAATTCCTTGTTTTTAAGTACGTTCTTATGGCATTTGATGTGCTCTACTCTGTGTCGTCTTAAGCACCGGAATTACTGAGTTGGAGACAAACTAAATCCTCATTGTTAGAATTTGCGTTAAAAGGAGCAGTCGTGCTCCTCGTATCAGTCTTCTCTTTGATAAATGGAGTATTTTATCAAACTGAGTTTCTTCTCGAGTATTTATGGTCGAGTATGTATACATCGGGTATTTACAGTTGTGTGATTGCTCTTCCTGTACTTCCCACAGTTTGTGGGCTTTCTGGAGTTTTCAGTGAGAAAATGCACCGAGACCAAGGCCTGGCCTCAGCATGACGGGGAGGCTCAGTGTCCTTAGAGTCATTATCTGTTACGGTTGCTGTTTCAGTGTCAGTCCTCGGGGTGGTCCTCCCAGTCCCAGTCAGAATTCCACTGAATCTTCAAATTCAGAGGTCTGAGTTTTTTCATATCTTACCCATCAAAATAAGATCAAATTTCCTTTGATTGGGGCATTTTTGGATTGTACTTTTAAAAAGTCATTACTGTAGAATCCAAGTCATTGTTTTTTCACTTAACAGACCTGCTTGTTAAAGGACTTCGTATCACTAAATCTGATTAAATCTGCTGAAGAAGCAAGTGCTCTGTTTTGTGACCTTGTAACTTTTGGCTCCCACATTATGTTTTTATTTCCAAATGTCTAAAGAGAGTTCGAGTTTGTAACGGATGTGTAACACAGCATTTCATTTCAACTTGCAATCTGATTCATTGCTTAATAGTTTTGGATTCAGCCTATAAATAAAATCCATCTCACATGGAGAATCTGGCTACTGCACTAGTTCCTGGTGACTGTCTTCAGGGCTATTTATTTGCATTTTTATGGAATTTATATCTTCTTTTTGGATAATCAGTTGTGGGAGAACACATTTCTGGCTTTGTCGTCAAGTTCTTTCTGAACTACCTTGGCTCGTCTGAAGGTCTCCTCATTACTGAGTTTGACTGTTCCTGGCTTCAATTTCTGAATGTAGCTTCTAAAGACTATCGGTCAAATGACTTTTTTTTTTTTTTTGGGTTTTTTTTGGCC